TGAACAGGGTGGCTTGAGCAGCCACAGTTGCTGAGTTAACATGTATTTGATTTCCTGGTGAACAGCTGGTTACCAGAGTGTTTCTTCGTGCTGAAAAAGATCTCCTGGATTTCTTCATCCTGCTTAACTACCCTTGTTTTCATGTTCAACACACTCAGCAATGCTCATTTGTTAATGAGCACCAGGAAAAATACTGCTTTACAACTAAGTAACAATCAAATTATTCACATTATCAGATTGAGTTGTTTGCTGCAGTAAAACTGAAGAGTTTCCACAGGCCTTCTTGTACCACAGCTAGTTAACCAAGAAATTTTTATCTACAAGCACAGTAAAACTGTAACTTGAGAGGGTGTTTGCACATAAATTCCTGAATTAGCAATCATTAATGTTAAGGCTCTGTCATTAGTAAACTGTTCATATTTGTTTTAGACCTGTCAGTGTTTTGTAAAATGAACTTGCATTGGGACATCTTGCATTTAGTTTTCGTGGGAAAAGAACTCAGCTTCTTCTTGAACCTCAGTGGGGACAATTATGCTGAGATGAACAACATAATTCTTTATCTCATGGTAGACTCTTTGCTCAGATCAGTTTATCACATGGTAGATTTTCTTCTCAGAAGAGCAGAAAAGAAATAGCAATGGTAGCTTTGGTGATAGAAGTAGCTAACAGTAGATGTTGATTAGTGATGTATTTAGTGATTAACACTTCATTTTTCTGCATAGACGTCTGTACGTTAACGTGTTTGGTTTTGAAACCCAGCATTGCATCCCGATGGCAAGATTTTCCAAAGCCTTTACTTTTCTCCAGAAAATGAGTAGAAGAGACTTTCTGTTTTTCTCAGAAGATGAAGAAGCCATGCTGATAATAGGGGTAATTATAATTACAGGGTCTATATCTGAAGGTCTTGGCTTTTTCTAGGAAGCCTTCTGTTTTGTTATAAGACTATTTGTTTTGAACCTCCTTTCTTTTCTTTTGGAAGCCTATAATGCTCCATGACAACAAACTAATCAGTTTACAGGTGTCCTCCTCATTTACAAGCAAGTTGTATGCTCAAGTTTACGGTTTCTCTTTCTTAACAAAACCAGGTCACTTAACTGCTAGCAACCCTAAAAAAGTTCATCAGGACAACCAAGAACTGTTACTGTTTTCAGCATTATGGAAAACTTCCAAGTGAAGCCTTAGTGTTTATTTCAAAGGTCCTTGGTTCACGTTATGTGTGACTGGTTTGGCTTGATTGGGCTGCCTGCAAAGTTTCTGCAGGCAAAGGGGTAACTTTCAGCTGTGTCTGCAGATTTGAAGTTGGAATCCAGAGTCCCCTAGGCTGATCTGAATTTAAAAAAAGAAGAAAACATAGTAAAGCGACAGATATACAGTCTGGACTGGGATGTAATTGCTTAAAATGGGCCACAGCAGTTATACTGCTGTAAATTCATATGAAGGGGATGCTGACAAAAACCTCTACAGGGAGAACCCAATTTTATATCATGTTGTCCTGTAACGTGTCACTTCAGGATGGAATGAGTGACTTGGGTGTTAAACTGGCATGTGACAGAAAAGCACGTGGCTACACAGATGTGTTACCTGGTTTTGCGTTCTAACCTCTCTGGTGTTAGGTAATAACACCTCAATGATATTTTTAATGTTCATTAAATATAGAAATAACTTTCCAATAATTTTAGTAGGTTTTGAAGGCAAACTATAGAGCTGATGTTTCATGAATTATAATTATTCAGTAACACTTGAATATCTTATTGTAGTTTGCCTGTTGAAATGTGTATACTGAACTCATTTCAGATTGTTTAGGATTCCTGCAGATTTTGGAAGAGAAGTACAATTATGAGTGTTTCCCTTGTTTATGACAACTACCTGTGTGCAAAAGCATACTCAGTCATCTTCAGGCCCTTTTTGATTCCCAAGAGGTACGTGAAACTTGGAGTCTTTGCCAGTTCCATACAAATTATTTGTTCTTCGAAGTCAAGTATGTAGCTGCCTAAGGCAAATACAGTAGAAATAGGCATCATACAATTGAGTAAAGAATACATCCTCTCCTTATCTGGAGAGATTTTATTAAAAGTTTTATCATAAGTTCTATGTCCGGAGAACTTACTGCTACAGTTATAAAAATTAATATAAGTTTTCAGGTACCAAAATCAATTGGTGCCATGTGCTGAGACATCTGATGGTGTTTTTACTACGTGTTCTTAATTATCTGCAAGGAGAATTAAGTTGGTGGCTTTATTGGATGTGTCTGGGCTGAGACAATATTGCAGTGGTGACTTTGTTCATGTGTGCTTGCCTTTTTGATATCAATCAAGAATTTAGTCATAGAAAAAATTGAGATTACAATATTTTACTTTTACCTTCCATTTGGTCAGTGCAAACTAAAGTACAGAGAACAGCAAAAGAAACAAAAAATGAAAGGAAAAAAAAGCTTGAAAGTGAAGATATTCTAAGCGTTTTTGAGGGACAATGCTATTAAAACATACAGAAGAAAATCCTTTTTGCACAAAAAGGAAAAAAGGATAATTTAATATATTTTACATATTTTGCACAGAGATTTTGCCAGAGCTCTTTGCTGCAAAGTTGTGTTGCGTGTTTACAATTAATAAATGTATTTAAGGAAAAATAGCTAGTTGCTGGAAGTCAGTACGTGAAGAGGAGAACGTACTTTTTTTGGTTTTAATTATTGCTGGCTAAATTACAACGCACACGTAAAAATGACTCGCACTGTATGTAATCAGTAGCAGCAGTTAAGTGACTGAAACTTTGATCTTGTTAATGACTTCAGTTGAACAAGGGGTAGACAGGATCGATGTGTGAGTTAAAGACCTTCAAGGGAAACACAAGGAGCAGGTGCAGGAGGCTGAAGCCCAGATCCGGGTGATGACTCTTCGATCGTGTCCTCTGGGAAGTTCCCTCTGCCTGAGCTCCTCCACAGCCAGCACCTGGCTCAGCAGCTGCAGGTTTTTCCGCAGCAAGAACTGCCCTGTTCTTTCCATGAGCTGCTTGAATTTCTCGCAGTCGGAGGTAATGTGATTCACATCACTGAATTCCTGGTGGTGAACTTTAAAATTGAATTTATATGCAGTGCAGACTTACCATTATATTTCTCCTTGGTCATATCTTTCTTAAAAAAACCCCAACAACCAGCCAAACGCTTAACCAAAGTAAAAATCCAAACCAACAAACATTTCTTTGAGTAAAAATTTTCGTTGACGATCTCCCACTTGATATTACCTTTGGAAAATATAGAGAACATTCCCTTCAGCTCTTTTTGAAAAAGGAGAAATTGAAACCTATTGGATTAAAGGTAATTGTTAGATTTTTAGTGTGTATGTTTGTATGTTTTGTTTTGCTTTTGTCTCCTATGTTTTTATTTTTGTCTACTGTGGCAAACTGACAAAATTCATCATTTGACATTTCCATAGTAAGTTGTGTTATGCAAAATAACACAAAAAGGTAGAATTATTCCTGAAATAACATATAGTCACTGTAATTTTAGAAGGCTGTGATTTTTTTTCCCCGTACATGGTGTAATTTTGTGTGGATCATAATACTCAATTTGTTCTCTTTATTTTTCCATTATAGTTGACCCTTCTTGGATGAACTCGATCTTCGATTTTAGGAACCGCAACAAAGTCACTTGTTCCTCTCCATTCTGATCAGATGTACAGCCGAAAACTTATATAAATTATGAATATGATAACGTTAGCAAGTGAAAAGGCTACTTGTTAGTCTGTTTTGTCTTACGTGATTGCTAATGGTAGCAAGTTCTAATGAGAAATCAGACCAAGGGGGGAAAAGTGTAAGGTAACATGTGTGCAAGGTAACATGTGTGCTGGGCATTTTATGTTGTTATATTTGACTGTGCAGACATAGTGTAGCCAAAGCAATTTGAATGTTCTGTGTGTTAATTTGTGTTCTTGTTATAAGAATATGTTTCTGGTCTGTGCTTTAAATTCCAAACTTTAATGCTCTGAATTTGTGTCAACGTCTACCAATACAATTATTCTTCAAAGACTTCTATTTATAGTTTATGCTCTACCTTTTAAACTGAAAAATTAATAATCCCTCTAGAGCATCACTTTTAGGCATGGAGGAGCTTAGTATGCCGTTATCAGTGTATGATTAGGTAATAATAAAAAAAATTTAAGTTCAGTTATTGTAAATACTTACCTATCTCACAAAAGTATAGGAAATCCCTTCTCAGTGAGATTTGACGTATACCTGTTCAGTGTTTTAGGCTAGTGTTAGCTCAGAATATGATAGCGGTTACAGCTGTAAAGCTCTATTCTTGAATATAAATTCTGACAGCTTATTTTGTCTCTTGTACGTGCTGTGGCACATCAAGATGGAGTAAACGAAGGATACGCAGTAACAACTGAGAAGTTGTCAGTGCTAAACAGTTTCCTTTCC